AAATATGGGACTCTAAATTATATAAAATCATTCGGGACCCCAAAGCGAATGCCTTTTTAATATCAATTGAGGCACGGCTTTGGATGGAAGCTGAATGTTCACTTCTGATTTGTGAACAATTCGTTTGATAATGCATTCTTTCTAGCCATTGTAATTTTTGTATTGACTCGTATCATACAAGTAGAGATAAAAGTCATCAAACTAGAGGTGGACACTCGGTTATTCGGTTCGGTTCGATCTAGGTTTCGGGTTTTTGGGGTTTTTTTAAAAAATATATCCTTTTGTTATGATAATTAAAGCATCTACTAATGCTTAAAGAAAACAAACTTCGTATGTGTTACAAATAATGCTTAATCCTTATATTGAAATCGGTTCTCTAGAAGGATTGAGATGGCTGTGATGCGCCAAGTGTTTAACTCCACTATTTATCATGTGATTGGCAATAACTCACTAACTAAGAGCCAAAGTCAATAATGAGATCCACATTTTAGCCACACAACTTCCCAACGAGTCAACTATAGTATATACAACTATAGTCTCAGCATTTCATAATGCATTTTGATGGGAACATTTCATATTTTGTTGTGTAATAGACAAAGATCTAGAATTATTGGTATTTACCCTGAAATAATTCATCAGTTTAAAGATTTTGTGATAGAATATGACATTTTCATTCGGTTAGGTAATGAGATTCGAAGTTGAAGTCGCTAAATCGGCCGAGCATAGGTCAGTTCCCACTAATATACACAGAAAGTTACGATATCATAATGGCTTCTTCGGTTCTTCCTTACATTTTAACCTCTTTTTTTTTTAAACTCCTTTAGTATTTAACTTAGAATAATGAATATTCAAATATTTCTCGGAAATTGCTATTTACCTTACATTTTACAAGTACATTCACACACTAGAGTATTGTTATGTTATGGGGGGCAAAACTAGAATTAACGAAAATGTTGTGCACTAAACTAAATATCTCCGAAACATAGTACAAAGAGAAGGGACAGAAGATTGATATGGGCAAAAAATAAGCGAAACAAAATATCATTACTATTACTAGATATTACCCGCTCTACGTGCGGACTTTTTTTTAGTTATAAGCCTATCATAATTCACATTTATCAAATTATCTAAATATATCATATTTGGATCTATTATTATATTTTGACGCTGTTGGAGTTTGTTTCTTTTTCGATTGATTGTCTTAGAGCCAACAAAACACATATTTCTTGATTAAGTGGCATAGAAAGTTTGTGATCTTTGTAAAGTACTTTGTTTTGGTATTTGAATTCAACGAAGCCGCTTATGATGGCAAACCTTCCTCTCTACCTCTCCTTCGGCATCGACTCATCAACATCCTCTATACCAATGACCTTTGCTACAATTTTCACTTCACATTGTATTCATGCTCTTTCTGGCAAAAAAAGAAGAAGAGATGGCTCTCAATTAGAAAAAGAAAATAAACATTTATTAATTGCTTTTA